TGTAATCTCAACCTCTTATGGGTATCTAACCTCTCACCAAAGATTTAAGTTTACTAGGGTTTAAGTGGGTGCGCTGACGTCACCTTGCGGGTTAAGTCGGGTTAATCGTGAATTCACGCCGAGCCGGGGAAGAGTCCAAATAGCTACGGTATATGCTAGTGCTGAGCTACTTGGGATGCCAGAGTTACCTCTAAGAATAAGCTACCGAGGATGGTAGGTAGAGGCAGATGCGGGAAGTGATTCAAGGCCAAGAAAAACTGCACTTGAGGAGCTTCTTGGCTAAGCTAATTATACAGGTTTACAGATCATTTTAGACCGCTACCGTAAAAGCATGGAACTCTTACCCTTGCCCAGTTTGGAACAAGAGAAGTTGGCACAAACAGTCACTTACAACGCTTGTCTCCAGCATTAAGGTTTTGCAAAGATCAATGAAGATCTAGTTGTATCACAAAGGGGATCTGGGAAAATGAAATTCCGAGCCAAAGTAAGTTTTGCGGGTATACTGTTAATGTGGGGCAAGGTCAGCTTAACACAACCTTATTTCCCCACATGTTAGGCTTCAACGCTTTTCATCTCACATGCTCGGCTAGCTTAGCCGAGCAAATCAAGCTGGTCTCATAGACACTTATCACTGTGGCCACGGGTTTAAGTTTGCAGTGGATTTAAATGGGGCACACATTCGCTTCAGGGGTTAGTCCCCTGTTAGCGCCCAATCCGACTGGGTGTATAATTCTTGTCCTGTATTTCAAGGCCTGAATAAGGACACAATTTGATATCTAGTTACCTTCAGTATTATGCAAATCCAACCCGTTCTCCAGTTCTTTTACATCACTTCTCTGTCTGCCGACCATTAATAAATTACATAGCTCTTATTATCTCGTGCTTGCCTGCTTTGCAACGTTGGAGAGTCTGTGAGAGAATGGCCCCACATGGGACCAGGTAAATGATAGGGAAGAAGGGGTGGCAGAAGTTCATTCAATTCCTAACTACAAGCAGATGCTTCAGTCCGCCGGAGAATGAACAGGGTGGGAGGTGACCACGCTGAGAATGTTTCTGACCCGAGAGGAGATGGGTTTAGAAGATAAGAAAGCGGCGCAGGGCACCGTAACTCAGGCATATACCGTTCTTTTTTATTTCCTTCTTTTCTTTTCTCGCGTCTGGCTTCAATGCCGGTCATATAAGTAGCCATGAGCTCTCACCGTATGCGGTGCCTTCTACGAACCTAGGAGTGAAATATTCTCCCAGAGCCAAGTTCAGACCAATTTCGCAATATCAAAGAAGTTGGCCCACGAGGCAATGATTTAAATTACTCCTCCACGTCGTTTTTTCACTCTCGACGAGTTTGACTCCTACCTAAGTCTCATCAAGTCTACAAGTACGACCAAGTACATCCTCATCCCAATGACCACACCTCTCGTCGACTTTATCTGGCCTCTCCTAGTCACCAAATATACGCCAATGCCTACATTAACAACCGCAGGCGAAAGCAAAGCGTGGCGCACAAATCTGGGAAACAGTTCTCTGGGATGGACGTGAGAGGGATCAGGACAAGTTTACAAGATGACACGGATGATGGATACAGTTTCGACAGGCGTGGAATCCCGAATTTTGGCAAGGAGTTTTATTAATTGAGCTTTGTGCGCGCCAAGATTTCGCTTGCGAGAGCACAGCTGACGCTGTGCTCACAAGCCGACGATGGAAGATGCCGTGGTCCTGAGGTTCCTGATGGATTAGTATGTGTGAAAGTGAGATAAGCTTAGCTTTGTGAAGGTGTAGGTTACGGGTGTCCCGTGGCTCCAAACTATTAATATGGGTAGTAGAGCTTAAGACTAGATGTTACTTGGTTTCTATTGATACAGGGACTGTCCTACATAGTTGTAAACTCAAATAGGACATAAATGGATAATATATTGATACAGGGTATCGTATATATAAGCACAGTATTCCTTATCTTGCGCACGGATTCCAACGTGAACAACATTACATAAGCGTTACAATTTATCGGAGCCTCGTACCAATCTATAGGTCCGACATTCTTGGATCCTCAGTCCGCCTCCTGGTGGTGTTCTCTGGTAAAGTTTGAATAGCCTGGGTACCTACTCCACTTGGTAAGGAGATACCTAAGACAACATTTCGCGCAGAGAAATGTGAACGGATGATGGAGGCATGTCTGGATAACTCAGGGTTTTTGAGACGTTCCCCTGGGTGGGTATTCACGGATGAGGGTTGACTTGGGGTGAAGAAGAAGCTACCACAACTTCGCAGTGGTACTTGCAAATGAAATCTGAGGCATGAGTGCTCTTCTCTTACGTTGAATTATCTATTCTGTACTTTTCTTTGATATTGTGTCTTAGCTAGATAGCTGCATACGCAATTAAAATCTGATGCAAAAAAAAAAAAAAAAAGTACAATGGAAGATATGAGCAAGAGGCTCATCCGACTGATTTTTTGGCCGGCCAACTCGCCTGATCTTAACCCGATTGAAGCTGTTTTGAATAGGATGAAGGATTAAATCCAGTGTCATCATCCGAATATGGGTGGCGGAAAGCAGCGTATTCCAAATAGTCTTTGAAAGATTGTAAAGGAGGCATAGGATTCAGTGTCTACCGAAGATATTGTGAGACTAATTCAGAGAATGCCAGCAAGATTTCAGGCTGTGATAGGTGCAGATAGGTGCGGATAGGTGCGGATAGGTGCGGATAGGGGACGAACCAGATATTAAGGCTTGAAAATATTCCAGCCACATGTTCAGATCTAAGGTTAAGATAAGTTTGTGGAGTTCTGTTTTGTAATTCGAAAACCTTTGAACTCTTGTAAATAATTTATAAATTCAAGTAGCAAAAATGCACAAATGTTGTGCAGCCGATCATGATATCAATTAGGTTTAGTGTGAAGGAAAGTCCCACTGCAAACTATGATGTCCAGATAAAAACTGCCATACAAAATTTTTCAAAATTTGCACAAATACGAGGGCTAACCCCAATACGAAAGGTGACCATGCACAAGCAGGCTTAATTTAACAAGCTAAAATCCCTGCCACATCCCCACTACAAACTTGCTACCGTGGCAGTATGGTTATGTCGCTTTTGACCCTTCTTTGGCCGTCATCTGCCATCATTCCGAACGCATAACTTACGCCCGCTTCAGCCCTTGCATGTTGTTGGGCCCCGAAAATCTTGCTGACGCGTTTCCCCGCCACCGCGCACCTGAGCAATATTCGCTGAAGTCCCAGTCATCCGGGGCTAAGTGGCTACCAAAGTTACCCTGAATAGGCGACACTCCCTCATGGAAATGAGTAACTGGAAGCCCTCGCCCAAGTGATTTCTGGTGCCATACTCAGACGGCGCTTGAGTCTCTTGATCTCATGTTTCGTTAAGAAGACAACTTGACTTGATAGTGAGTAAGCAAGTTCGCGTTTGTTATTGGAACACGAATACTTTCAACGATGAGTCGGAATAGAATAGTATACAATTTTAGTTAACAACGAACCTTCGAATCTGAAAGAACTTAAGTCGGAAAGTAGGTAAACTTTGTTATTTTGCTACCGCAACTGATCGTGACGGATCTTAGTCTAGCAATTAGTAGTACTATCTTATTTCAAGGGCTCTTAATTAGGAGGTCTAGATTAAAACTTAAGGGGATATATTTGCCTTAATATGCTGTTAGGGTTGAGACAGCAAGAAATCTAAATTTCATGAGAGTTCATGTCATTTTGCCGGTTTTCCGCGATAGCAAAATTAGTCAATGGCATCTCTGAATGCCAGCGGTCAAGCCTCGAGCTCTTAATGAGCTTTGTATACGCGCGCTCTCTCGGCTCTACCATTTTCTCGGATCCGAAAGTACGTCGGCATTTTTAGCACTAGACCTCGTTACAATTCTTGATGCGAGCTCCGCTGACGAACCTGATTCAATGAGACATTCGATGCCGCTCAAGGTGAGCTCTAGTGTCCTACATAGCGCTGCAGATTAACCGGTCTAAGATCACGTTTCCGGACCGAGAAGGTTGAACGGCATCAACGTCTGGACCCTGGCCCAGCTTTGCACTGACTACAAGAGTAAGGTCATGGAGCTAGCCCGAGACCGTGGACCTTGAAACGCCTATTTAAGTGGTTTAGATAACCAAACTCGCAGCCTACAGTCATAGGTTTACCTGGTGCTTCCTCAGAGGTAAAGCCAGATTAAATTCCAACTCCATGGATATTATCAGGTATGATCTTTATATCCTGGTATCCACTCTTTTAATAACTAAAGGACTAGGGCCAACCAAATTCCTTTTCTTTGGATGTTCTCTCCGCATTACATTATTTCGGCTTACAAAAAACCAAAATTTTGTGCCTTACGTGTAGCATTTTTGCCACAGCGAACTTCAAGTCACTTGTACAGGACAATCTAAAAGTCGTTATTGTGCTTCACCTCATGTTCTTGGGTGTGGATGCTTTGGTGAGGTGTGTCGATAACATTCCACAGGAATCAGAGTAGAGTTTGTAACAAAGCCCACCACTACATTTATCTTTAAAAATGTTCGATCGCGCCTAGTTGATAAGAGATAAGCATTATGATACAATGTTAGTAAATGTAAGGGCTTAATGGGGTTTAAAAATTTGAAAGGAGAAGAGTCTCTACCAGTACTCGCACTACGCAGCAATCAGCTTCCCACAGGGTCTTTTTCAGATGAAATCTAGGTAGATTTTAACTGATAAAGCTTTACATTGCGCAGATGCATAGCTAGTAGTTGAGATAATCTGCCAGATAGACCTTCTAGTGAATGATAATGCTAGCAGAATCTTGATACTTTAGGTCATGTGATGGCATTTAGTTGCATGGAAGAAAGACAACCTACCTACCACATATTTTCGTCAATTTGCTTACTAAAGTTCTTCATCAGAAATAAAAAGTTAGTCAAATAGGACTTAGAGCCAGGTAAGATCTTAAGAAATGAAAAGTGGATAAACGAATATTTTTGGGTTGAACCTTATTTTACTAATTATACTGAAAAGCTGCTAGGAAAAGGAAAAATAATTATAGCTTGACTGGATATCAATAAAGGTGAGAATGGAGACAAGTTGGTATTCGTAGAGGTAGAACGAGGCGTTTAACATTAACCCCTAAACTTTGTCTAATTAAGTGTCCAGCAAGTTGACTTGAACTTGCAAGGCATAGTTGCTTATTAGACCAAAAGAAAATGTACATCAAAACAAACTTTCGGAGAAAAGACAGGCAGGACTGACTTTCATTGATGCACTGTTGTATAGACTATCTTTAGAGACGCAATATATTGGTCCAATATTTCTATCATGTGTAAACGAATTGATTATCCCAAAGCTTCATGTGTCATATCGCCTGCGAAATCATGTAGCCTCAGCGGCTTTAGGAAAGCAGTGGTGGTGGTTGAGTTGAGGATTTTGGTGTGGAGGTTAGGGCGGTGAGCTTTGTAAAGCTAGCGGGCCGTTAGTCAGAAGCAGCATTCAAAAGTAGGGATATATTGTGGGGTTGGTGGCGGAGGTCTGACGAGCTTGTAGGTTTGCAATTTGGTATGGACTTAGAAGATGGGCGTAGTGGTGATGAGCTAATTCGGTAAAAATCAAGTGAAGGAGTCGTGGTGAGGCTAGTAGCCGTTGGTTGTAGGGAGCGTAGCTTATGAATATAAGCATTTTGATCGGTGCGAAACCCCGGACACACACTCTCCTTCTGCTCAGGTCGATACATACATTCTGCGTACCCCCAGCGCAGTCATTTCAATTAATGGCCCCCTCCCACGGTCTTCAGTCTGTTTGAAATTGCTATTCCTTTAGCTCTCGCTCTTCGCTATCATAATACCTTCCCTTGATCCTCACATCGGATTTCGAAGACCACTTCATCAGTTGGGACCTCAGCCTTATATCGAGAAAAGCTCTTGTTCAAGTTGAGCATTCGTGACTCGAGATTCCACATGTACGGCTGGAGATTCCGGATAGTTAAAACAGCAGCCAGTACCCAGTAACACAAAGTAGAATACGGCGCGTTAAAGTAAATATTAGCACGATTTGATAATAAAATTTTCCTTTCAATCTAATGGAAAAGGAAAAGAGCCTTGATATGGGTGGACAACCCAACAATTCTAGCGATTTTGTAAGTTTTGGCCCATCCCCTCACGATCATGACTTAATCTTCGTACAACCGTAAAGGTTCGTAAACTGTTCAAGTAAGTCGTGAGCCAGTTATCCCCCTAAAAATCAAGCGGCTAACCCCTACTTTTCTAGAATGTTGGAAGATCCAACGTATAGCGAAATCGTACGTTGGGCAGATGGGGGTGAGACCTTTGTTGTACTCGAGGTACAAACACCACCCGCCACCCGACTGAGCCACGATGAATAACAGTTGAACAGAATGAGAAATTTACGAAAATGGTCCTTCCCAAACACTTCAAGCACAGCAACTTTGCATCGTTTGTACGTCAACTGAACAAGTATGATTTTCACAAAGTTCGACAAAACAACGATGATAGCGCTTCATCGCCATACGGTCCGAATGTTAGTTATAATTCCATTCATTTTCTCAACTAAAACACTCTTTAACAACAGATATCACTAGGCCTGGGAGTTCAAGCATCCAGAGTTTCAGGAGCACAAAAAAGACCTCCTCGATAACATCAAAAGGAAAGCTCCTGCAACACGAAAACCAAATCCTGCCATTGAAGAACAATTGACATCTCAACAAATCGACCATCTAAATAATCAACTAGTTGCGTCCCAACAGCAAGTGCAACAATTAACCGAGCGTTGCAATGAGTTGGCTCAGGGTCACGTCAACCTTTTACAGCAAGTAGTCCAACTTCAGAATTTCGTCCGAAATCATGAGCGTGTAATGCAAAAAGTTATGGGATTTCTTCATAGTGTTGACGCTCAAAGGAGAAGTAGTCGGCTTACATTCAGGTCCGGGATGGGTGGTGGAGAGATGCCAAACGACAGTAACATTGATGATCACGTAGCTTCTCCGTTGCAACAAGCGACAGAACTCTTGGGGCAGTTTTCTGCAGAAAACCTTCCAAACAAAGAACTGAAGCAGATGACAAATAATTATAACCCGCAGAACGATTACACTACACACTCAACTAACCAGCCAACTGCCTCCTTGACCCTCCAAACAGATAATCATAATATGGGATATCACGTGTCAAATGACCTCGATAGCTCGGTCTATCCAGTTGGCAATACTAATGGCATAAACCCAATTCACAGTGAGCATATTCACAATATTCCTTATGCTCCTCCGGCGAATATTTTAATTCAAACCTCTATGCAGTCAGAAATAATTCCAGAAAACAGTCCATCTACAAAGCCAAAAAAAACAACGGTAAAACCATTATGGACAGACGGAAAACCAAGTATTCTACTTGTTGAAGATGATAAAGTTTGTGCTCGTATCGGTACAAAATTTCTTCAGTCCTTTGATTGTGCTGTTGATACAGCAGTAAGTCATAGTACCAACAGCAAAGATATTCGTTCTAACGTTATTTAGCACGATGGTTTGGAAGCTGTAAACAAAGTTAATACAGATCATTTCGCATTTGATCTTATTCTCATGGACATTATCATGCCTCGCTTAGACGGGGTTTCAGCCTCTGTTTGTATTAAGGAGCTCCGCCCAAATATACCAATTATAGCTATGACATCAAATATTCGGGCTGATGACATTGAAATGTATTTTTCGCACGGTCCGTTCTTTTTGCGGAATATTTTCACCCTATTAATTGGTTGCAGGCATGAATGGCGTCTTACCGAAGCCATTCACTAAAGAGGGAATGCTACGTGCACTGGAGAAACATTTACCTGAGAGCAAGGACGCTGCTATATTCCAGCCATCTGTAGCGGCGCAATTGCCCCCAGATTTCGCGCCTACTCCATCAAGCCATCAAGTTCACAATTTGAATATGCCACATCTAACTAACTCACTTCTAAAACACGAATCCTCCAAGAAAACTACACCGCCAACCGTTGCTTGGAATTCGAATAATCAGCTTTCTGTTAATCCACCAGTAGGGGCTTCATCTTCCGGCTATTTACAACAATCTATAGGTGAAAGCCAGAATTTTAATATGACTTCAAATATGAACCAAGTTCCATCAGGCTTCAACTCAGCTCAACAGAATCAAACTACAGGAGTTCAACGAGTACCACAACGAAGAGTATACACAGACTTAAACAATTCCCAACCTGATGGCCCGGCAGAAAAGCGACAGCGAATGTTTCCCCTCCAACCGGGTGCATTTGCTCAATAAAAAATGCGAAGATGTGACCCTTCGCTGTGAAATTAATTTATTTCTAATTTATTATTTACTGATTGAAATGTAATGGTAAACCTGAACTAAGCAGGGGCTTTGGTATTATATGGTTATATAGACTGATAGGCGCTTTCGGGGAGTTACTTGACAAACAAATATAACGAAATCTTGGTTAGAGGGAATCGGTGTTTCGGAAAGTCTGGATTTTGAAAAATATGATGAGCAATTCATCTTTGGAGTTTAGGGAAAAGAAAATCTCATTATCGTAGATTTCATCAGAAGGAAAACAGCACATTCATCGAAGAATTACTTCCTAGAGGTTTCAGCTCAAATCAATACCCTTGCAAATATTTAGGAAATAGCGAATGGTGGATAAATTGTAAATGAATAAGCTTGCGAGGATTTCTGTACTAAAATTTGAGTCCCCTAAGCCATGACTTTTTAAGATGGGGCGAGTAATTGTACCAAAACATGTAGAGGCAATCAGTAAGCTACATTACTGGGAATCGGCTCAACAAACGGTCGTTCTTAATTCAGTTCACGACCCACAATGTACTTTCAATCTTGGAGCATGGTAACTTTTTTGGTTGTGACATTTAAATGGACGTGTACAATTTTCTTGCTGTGTAGGTGGGGTGGTTCCGTATTAGCGACGGATTCCAGATTGCACTCGGTTTTGAGGCTCAACGGAGTGGACAGAATTTCCACGTTTCTCGTGCACGCTTGTGAAATACTTTAAATCACCGCATCCAGTGAACCAACACCGCCTGGTCGTGCCAATCCATTAGAATGTCCTAACTTGAAGCGTGAATTTTTCAAAATCTACAAAATCATAGCCCTACATTTATTCATCATTTATCCCAAATGTCTCAAAAAACTAACAAAAGTTTATTACACGGGGCACGAGCTGAAATGAAGGGAAAAAAAGGGCCAAAGAAAAACGAGGACAACAGAGAACATGCCCTACAGGCAGTGGTATGAATTCTTGAGGCCGTCGTTTTTTAGAATGGGCAATTAATAATTGTCTTAGGTCATCGCAGATTGCTTTGAGACCAGGTTTAATCCTTTTACCTTGGAAACACCCAGAGTAAGCTTCTTGTAGCTGAAGCAGCACCACAGGCTACTGGTTGCTCTCTAATATGATTCTAGTGTCTTCTTCCACTAGCAAACACGCCTCTCATCGAGTATACGCTAGAGTTTCTTGCCATGTCAGGTGTTGCCGAGGTGTACATTTACTGTGGCACCCAAGCCACTGCTGTTGAGACTTATATGCTTCGCTCTAGGTGGCACCCTAGTATTCCAGCCTCTCCCTTTCAAGTACTTGAGAACATTAAGACTTCAGTCAGGTCGGTTGGTGATGTCATGCGAGATCTGGACTCTAGGGATCTAATCACTAGCGACTTTATCTTGGTTTATGGCGATCTAGTATCAAATATTTGTATGAGGAATGCGCTCGCGACCCATCGCGCACGCAAACAAGCTGATAAAAACGCTATAATGACTATGTTACTAAGAACTGGAGGATTGGACAAGCACAGGACTAAGAGCAAGGGAGTTTCACCCGTTTTTGTCATTGACCCTACCATCAATCGATGTTTACACTACGAGGAAATGCACCCTATGCAGGCAAACAAATACATTAATATTGATTCATCTCTACTGACCGAGCATAGCGAGTTGGAGGTTCTGACCGACCTTATAGATTGCGGTATCGACATTTGTACACCCGACGTCTTGGCTCTATGGGCCGAATCATTTGACTACGAAATTTCTCGCCGGCATTTTTTGCATGGGGTCCTCAAAGATTATGAGTTAAATGGGAAGAAAATTTACACAGAGATCATTGACGATCACTATGCTGCAAGGGTCTCTAATCTCCAGTCATATGAGGCCGTTAGCAAAGATATATTGGGCCGGTGGACGTATCCTTTCGTTCCTGATAGCAACTTGGTAGCAGGTCAAACCTATAAGGTAGAACGAGGGGGTCTCTGTAAAGAAAATGGCGTAATACTGGCTCGGACGTGTAAAACTGGAAGGAGAACGGTGTTAGGAAGAGACACAAGCCTTGGTGATGGCAGCACAATTTCCAGCAGTATAATTGGAAGGAGATGCCGTATTGGTAATAATGTTCATATTCAGAATGCCTATATTTGGGATGACGTGGTTATCGATGATGGCACAACAATCGACCGAGCAATCGTGGCCAACAACGCATCCATTGGAAAGAACTGCAGAATTGAGCCTGGCTCGCTTGTTTCTTACGGCGTGCGCATTGCAGACGGGATTGTGGTTATGGAAGGCCATAAAGTCACATGCTTCAACCGTGTCCCTAACAATGGCGCTGAGCCTACGAAATTGTCACTGACCGATCCAATGGCAGTCGGCAAAGGCGGCCAGGGGTATCTATGGGAAGAAGACTCGGATTGCGAGGACGAGGCATCAATTTTTCAGACTTCCCTCATCTACAGCACTGCACATCTCAATTTATCTGATTCATCCATATCCACTTTTGCCTCATCGGTCTCTAACGACGGCGGCGTCTACAGTGATAGGCGTCATCCCAGCTTTACCGGATCCATCACCTCAGATACTGACGGCACTGCGGGCAACGAGGGCTTCCACTATGACGCTGTTAACGGACTCCTCGATACACTGCGCGAGAACGGCGACTTTGACTCGGCCAAGCTCGAGTTCATGGGCTTGCGTCTTTCTAATGACGCGACAGACCACCAGATCCGGCGTGCTATTGCAGTTGCCTTCACCAAACGCATTGCCCAGCTCGTAGAACATGAGAAGCTCGAAGCTCTCAAAGCCACAACTCACGCCTTCAGTACGCCGGGAGCCGAGAAGTTCCTCCGCGAAGTCGCTATTGGCATTGACCGTCGTATCGATGACCAGGTCGACTTTATTATCTGTCTTCAGAAAGATCTCTTGCATAGAGCTAGCGGTGCTACTATTCTAGCAGCCATGAGTCAGGATCTTTACACCCGCGATATACTTGAGGAAGGGGCCTTTTTACTGTGGTGGGAGCTGGGCGAGAAATTAGGTGCAGATGAGGTCTTAGAGATGTCCAAGATACGAGAGAGGACTGGTGTCTTTATTAAGTGGCTAAGGGAGGCCGAGTCGGAGAGTAGTAGTTGTGATAGTAGCAGTGGTAGCGAGGGAGACGATGATGAAGATGAAGACTAGCATAGTTGCGAGAGTCAATGAAAAGGTTAAATCTAATCTTTCAATCAATACCCACAGGATTGTTAATGATGTACACTATTAATAAACCACCCTTACAACCTATCACTTCCCAACTCCTGACTATTCACTCAAGGAGGTACCTTGGGCGTCTCAACCCCAGACATCCACCCTCTGCCTCATAATAGATGTAGAAACTCTTTGGCTCCGGCGCATTATGGTGATCGGTAGGCATCATTTCCCTCTATCATGAAGGGTTGTTGAGTTCCTCATCCTTACCATCACCGTCTTTGGTTGTCTCCTGCTCCTTCTGCCACCACGCCGGCTTTGCCCAGGCCGGGTCAGTCCAGGGGCCTTGATCACTGAATTGACAGCCTCCGGCGCACTCACATCGACCGCCGAACGCCTTGGGCAGATTTTCGGCCGGTACCTGGGCCAAGAGCTCTGTCTGGTACCCCTTCCCGAGCACGTGAATCTTGTCAACGGTGACGGGATCGAGCATGCTACTGACCATGCTAAAGGCATTTGAAAAGCCCCAGGGCGCGTTGATGATGTAAAGGTGGCCCAATCTCTCCGGATAGTAATTTTGGGAGATGGCTGAGGCCTGCTTGACATAAGAATATACAGAACCGATCTTGCTGATACCGACGCCTTTAAGGTCCATTATAGTACAGCAAGTCTCAAGCAGCTTGCCCGCCTTCCGCGAGCAGGCAGGCAGGCGTGGATCACCAACTTTCTCATACTCGACGGCGAGGTTCATGAGCATGCGCTCGGAGCTCGTCACCTTGTACATGGCGGCAAGGTCGATTTTCCCCAGTTGTTCAATGTAAACGGGACGCCCATCCTGTCTGCGGTGAGCTGCGCGCCATCAAGTTAGGCCTGCGGGAGACGCTTCTACCTTGTCCGTCTTGTGATAGTACTGGGGATAGAAGGCGAAGACTTTCTCCTTTTCCGTATATTCAAAGTTGCGCGTGAGGTCGTCGAGCTTGATCTCCTTTCGCCATTTCTCGGTTTCGACAAACCTTTCCCAATGTTAGTTCAATGTCGGTAGGTCTCTCTGGTGGATTCTACTTGCATCTTCTCCGCGAGTGCTAAATCAAACTTGCGGGCTCGCAGGAAGCGCAGCTAGATAGCGAAGTGAGCCCTTGCATCCTGCTGCTGACGAGGGTGTTATTAGAACGTTTGCTTACAAGTGTCAGAGTATCAAGCCGCTCTGTATATCCATCTTGTTCTAGTTTCTTGCGCATCTGTACTACTTTTGCATCTTGCTCTGGCGTTGTATGACCGGGATGACCGCTCAGCGTACAGAGAGACGTTGTAGGGAAGTCATAGTGATCATATTTAGGATCCATTGTGATAAAGCAAGCTTCACGTCTTAGTTACAGTATTAATTTAATCGTGATGAAGGCGATCGCTAATGATCGGATTGGAGGGGGTATCAATCCGGAAGGGACGGGCGCAAGGTGTTTGATGGTGTTGTTACTAAGTTAGAAGTGCTCAGATTTACTTCGTTCAAGCGATTAAGGCAGCGAGTAAACTATGGTGTGAAAATCCATCATTTGTTCATTAACAAGGAAGTATATACGTGGGTCAAGAGATATCTGGCTTTTCAACTATTCACAGCATGGGACACATCTAGTTCATTGCGCCGTTTCGCTTAACATCAAGTCAGTAAACTAGCCGTTAGGAGATCCGTTTTTGCCACTCTTGTCAGGGTTATCACCGTCTTTCTCTCTTTCCTTCCTTTTCATGGTCACGTCCCAATTATATACTCTAGCTATAGCTACCTCGACAGTCTATGGATAGTTAGTTAATCACATTTTTGCGCGCCGTAGTCAGCTTAATTGATGGTCTGTAACTAACAGTAATCTGCTCCCTCAGAAAATCTAAATCATTCTCGCAGTTCAGTAAGCTTTGCCGGGCCGCTGACAACTTGGAAATGAGCAGAGTTTCGGCTTCATCAATGGGGTATGACAGCATTACGTTGGCCTAGAGATACTGCTTAGTTGCCAAAGCAATGAAAGGGACTATTCTCACCCCAAGCCACAAATACACTTCTTCCGTGTATGGAATATTCGCTTTAGCGTAAAGAGTGTCGTTTAGTTCAAACGTGGCTTCGATGGGCTCCGCATCGGGCTATTAATGAGCGATCAGAACCTGTAACCGTACACAAGTTTCATCGCCTACTTTTCTTGTCTTCAAGAAGCGTACGGAGTCTAGGGTTTTTTGGATATCAGGCATTTTTTCCTTCAGACCTTCAACACGTTTCTGTTGGTTTGCTTCCATGAAACGGTATTTCCTGTTGATGACTTGTGAGTCCATGGCACATTTTGGTTGTCCAGGCTTGGGATAAATTATACGTGATCATCTCTTGAAAGCTTGCCAATGTCTGCTCGACATCGGCACGCGAACTCACGTAGTCCTCAACTTTGTCAACGAATGGCGCGTAGGGGATTCCCCTCTGATTGGTAGAAGCCGCTATTTCTGTCCTAAATGAATCATTAGCTCAGGGCGTGCTGTACATGAAACAAAACTTTGGGGGGGGGGCTAAACTCTCACTTCCTATTTTCGTCGGCCATCATGAGAACTAGTGCACCGAGAAGGCCCGAATTACAGTAGTATTCTGACCAACGATGTAATGCTCCAATGTTACAGAGGCCCGGGTGTCGCAATAATCTCGATGCAAGCGACTTTTCAAATTGTGACTGATTAAGACATCTGCCCCAAGATAAGCTCCTTATCTTAGCGCGAGTTTTATTTATTAATTTACTCCTCGTCAATTAATGCACGTTAGCCGATCTGCTCCAAGGCCCCTATCACGGCCAAGTTGATGCGGTCGGGAACACTATCGTTATCCCTGTGTCTATTGAATCATTGAATCTCATGGGAACATAGAAAGATGCTCATTTCACTAGATCTTCAGGCACACTTACAGGCTACGTGATGGGGGATGAGTCGGATTTATCGTGCGGAAACATGGACATCACTGCATCTATTTGAAGCACGTTTCATTAGTCAATTGTGAGTTCCAACGTAAGTTGCGCAAGCACGTATATTTCAATGTTCGTGCGGAGAATAAACAGGTACGGGCTTCCTTTTCCTCTGCCGTATCTGTAGAAGCCAAAACGACAATTAATTATTATGGAACTGAGCTAACCTGTGCATAAAAAAACTCATTTGCTGTCCGCCAGAGTGACTTAAGATACTATAAGTAGTTTCGTGAAAATATCATATGGATATTCTTGGGTGTAAGGATAGATACAAGAATTAAGAAAGGATTTCTTAAGACGCGAATCTAGCCTGACGTTAAGGTATACGACCTTCCTCTGGTCAAGTCAGGGCGAGACCTTCAGTACTCATAAGAGAACGTTAAAGAAGTCAATTTAATCATCACTAAAGCTCTCAAAACTTTACTGGCAGGCTTGACAAGTTACCGGTAGGCGATCCCGAAGGACTCCTTACTAACAAGCTGTTTAATTCAATATAAATTGGGAAATAGAAAAAATTAAAAAATTATTTCCGAGTCTGGTGGCCTTTGGTTCGCCTGAACCCAGATGTCTCCCACTAACTCATAATTTTCTATGGCTCGGTCTTGGCTTACGCCAACTGTTGTCGTGTTGTTTGGATTTCCCACACCTCGACCCACGGAGACAAATGTTGCGCGTCCTGCTTTTGAAGGGTCACTAGTACTTTACGAAAACTTGTTCTCGGCGCCCACAAACACCCCATAGTCGAATCGCTCAAAAAGGCACCCTTAACACGCCCATTGATAATCTCTGCTCTCAATCATTCCATGTCCCAGATACCTGTCCTCAATCAAGTTTCGAAGCCCCATTTGTTGATCTGACAGGTTTAACCTCTGTTAAATTACATGCGATGAGGATGGGGTTGCTGCAGCAGAAACGGTGGTTGATTATGATGTATATATATGTACATGTTTGGACACCACCTAAGCGTCAATGCTATCAATATGGAAACGTGCGCCTAAGGCATAAATCCAACCTCAGGCTTAAAGGAGCAAGTGCTCCAACAGGAGGGCAAGACTGGACACATGTACGCGGTGCCCTCTACGAACCTGGGAGTCATTCATGAAAAATCTGGGAATGAAATATTCTACCAAAAGCTGAGTTCAGTCAAATTTCGCAATACCGAACAAGTTGGCACACGAAGCAATAATGTAAAACACTTCGCCATGTCAATCTTTCCCTCCCAACGAGATCGACTCACACATCAGTCTTATCAAGCTTACAGGTACGACCTAGTACATCCTCAGTCCAATGATCATACCTCTCGTTGAATTTCTCTGGCCTTAGCTGGTCACCAATTTCACGCCCACGCCAATATCTATACCCGCAGGAGGAGGCAAAGCGTGTTGCAAAATTCTGGGAGACAGTTTCTTGGGATGGATGTGAGAGGAATTAGGACAAGAATACCAGACGACACGGAGGATTGATACAATCTTGACGGGCGTGTGATATTGAATTTTGGCAAAGAGTTTTATAAGTTTAGCTTTATGCGCGCCAAGACTTTGCTTGCGAGAGTGCAGCTGACACTACAAAAACAAGCCGACGATGGAAGGTGTTGTGATCCGCCTCCTGGTGATGTTCTCTGGTATAGTTTGAGTAGCCTGGGCACCTACTCCACTTGGGAAGGAAACATCTAAGACCACATTTCGCGCAGAGAAATGTGAACGGATGATGGAGGCATGTCTGGATAATTCAGGGTTTTTGAGACGTTCCCCTGGGTGGGTATTCACGGATGAGGGTTGACTTGGGATGAAGAAAAAGCTGCCATAACTTCGCAGTGGTACTTGCAAATGAAATCCGAGGTATGAGTGCTCTTCCCTTATATTGAATCATTTCTTCTGTAATTTTCTTTGATTTTGTGTCTTAGCTAGATAGCTGCATACGCAATTAAAATATCATGGAAAAAACTACAGATCTGCGGCAAAGTAAATAAATATATACTTATCTATTGGCACGGATTCACACACGGCCTGCTGGCCCAATGGCAAGGCGCTTGACTACGAATCAAGAGATTGCAGGTTCGATCCCTGCGTAGGTCAAATATTGAATCAAGTCATGGCAGAATTCTATTTTTACATTTGATCAGCCCCGACCTCATCTGAAAAGTCCAATATTTTGAATGTTTACTAAAGCCCCGAACCTTTCCCACACGCATTTTCGATCTAATAAATCATGAGCTCATTAATAAAAATGTAGTGAAGAAAAAAGTAAAGCAATAATTTTTGGTTTTGAGTCAGCATTCCCCATTCTGAGCTTTCATCCGCCAGCGTGTTTGCCCTGGCATTTGTCCCAAGACCCGTCCTTGCATTCAGCTCGGAACTATAATACGTCCGGCCTACCGAAACAGCCTGAAACTCATGAAAAAATTTTAAACTTCTCTAATCCTTTATGTCCGAGGAGTTGCCTGGTAAAAGTATCTAAGCTCAAGTCTTTTCTAAGTTAACGCGTCAGAATATTGTTTCTCTGACAGTGTGTAAAGTGGGTGGGCGTCTTTTCTAGCCCACAGCTACAAACCAGGCTTGCATATTCGTGCTTGAAGCGACGGTGATAGGCGGCAAAATCTCCAAGGCTTGTTCTCGCAGCAATGAGTTCGCGTGCAGAAATTTACCTACTTGTAAAACAAATTGTTTATTAAATGCTCGGATCAAGGGGATGGCAGCTGTTCAGGGACTATGTCCAAGAGAGCGGAATATACGCGGAGGCTAGTCGGGGGATGGCAGGGATACCTGTGACTCGGAGGTGATAGAACGGAAGCCTAGGTGGTTTGGCATGAACAGAGAGATTGGATTCGAGGCTCAGGCGCGTGGTGGCTGAGGCGGAACGATGGAAGGGAGATTGTTTAAGTTTTTCTTTTGTAATGCGGGATTTCGCGTGAAAGTTTTTGTTTTGTTTACAATTCTGGGCTGCTGAATCCGTCATGGTTCAACACATAGATGCGTATTGGCATGGTTCTGGTCATTTAGGTGGGATGAGGCATTTGTACTGCACGTTAGTTAACCTGATCCGGCCCGACCCCACTCGTGCTCAAGCTCCAGTAGGAGTGCGATGGTAGTTACTTCACCTAGCACGTTGATGAACAAAAAACGCACAATTCAAGAAATTCGAAAATTCATTTTTTCCCTCTTTCCTCCCTTCTCGACCTCGTCGCATCCATCTCTGAATTGTGAACGAGCTCAGGCATTTTCACCATGCCTCCAGTTCGAAAAAAGCGTCCCAATGCCACGTTGGACAACACGAGAGTCCGCCCGGGGGCTCTCGAAAATTTACCTGACCTTGCCCAGTCTCCGAAATGCGCGGAGATGAGCAAGGTCTCAACTAAAGGGAAGGAAAAGCCCTCCCCGCCGTCACTGAGCCCGATACTGACATGATCGGGTCAGTTGAAATTGTTGAGGAATTTCCCCAACCATCCTCCGTCCCTCACGGGACTGGAGAATCGTTAAAATCTCCTCCGACAGCGTCAAAACCGTCGGAAAACGCTGCAGTCAAAGCAGCGCCAAAATTAACGTCGCAGCCAATAGCTGCCACGAAAGCAGATTGCCCTCCGGAGCTCGACCAATAGTCGAAGCTGAACAAGGACGTGCCGCCGAAACAGCGGCAAATCTGGCCCTCTATTCCGCCGCCATCTCTGGCGTCGAAGCCACCCTCCTCCCTTTGACCAACGGGTCAAATAGACAATTCGTAGACTCGATGAGAGTCTACCTACGCGCCGCCATTGCGCAATACATGGCCCGGCCACTACGCCACCCGTCCTCCCTCCTCGCCTGGCAAACCCTCCCCCAAGGGCTCCCGACGCTAGGAGCATACAAATTCCCGCTGTCCCAGTGCTGCCTGTAAAAAGCACCTGGGCTACGGTGGCCAGAAACGGACTGCGACAGAAAGTAGTCTCCATTGTAAAGGCTGTGCCGAAACCTATGGCAAAGGCCCCAAAGAAAGATGCCCCGAAGGCGAAAGTCGACAAACGACTATTCCTTCGCCTAGAAAAGGAGCACCCGTGGCGCCAGCTTACGCCTGCTGGCCTACGGCAACAACTACAGAGTGAGCTAAATTGCTTCTTGAGTGACGCCTGCTCTATATACCGTGTTAGAACCGGCTTTGCGATTCTGACAGGGAATGAAAATAAAAGGGAAGAGCTCCTAGATGCCGCACCAAAGTTTTCGGACTTCGGCGCCAAGCTCGAGGAAGCCTCCAACTTTGTCGCCTTTCGGATCGCGAATGTTCCGGCGACCATAAAAATAATCGACTGTACTTATACGGTCAATGCGGATTGGATCTCATTGGAGATCTACCGAAAAACACAAAAGCTTCCATACAAGGTGCTACCGCACGGGACATGCCGTCCTGGAGCGCCGTACAGAAATTGAAAAGCCCTTTTCGACCGGAACAATGCCCCTCGCCCGGGCTTCCGTATTCTCGAAGAGGCTGGTATGGCTACCATTCACAAGCCACGACCACAAATCGAACAGTGTAAACGCTGTTTGGGCTTCCACGCCACCCGTGGTTGCTCCCGCGCTCCAGCTTGCTGGAACTGCGGATCAAATATGCACTCGGAAGCCGAG